ACATTAGATCCCTCATCAGTAATAAAAACGATTTTTGACATGTCAAGCCCAAGATAGGTAAGATTTTTGTTGACTAAATCAGATATATTTTTTCTGATTTTGGAAATGTCTCCAGGAATTGGAAGACACGAAAGTACAAACATTCATTCCATGATCGCCTACTCTTCGGACTTCCTAGATTAATCCCTTAAGGAAATCGGATTTTCGACGTTTCGATGACGGTGTCACAGGTTCTTCGAGATCGCCGCTTTCGAATGCGACTCTTAATTCATTTTCAAATTCATCCATCTAGTAAGAATATATGTGGAAAAATCCCTAAAAATTACAGAAAAAAGACTGAACATTTATAAAAATGGAAAATTGCAAATTCCAAAGGAGAGACTACACGAACGAAAATTAACAGAAAAAAAGAAGAGAAATATAATGGCAGAGCAGAGAAAAAAAGATACAAAAACGTTGATTCGCAGTTGTTTGGCGCAAAACGTTGATATTAACGTTGTTCTGGCGTTATGTATTTTAAAAAAAGTTGTTCGCGAATAATTGTTGATATTCGCCGCGAATCAACGAAAACGTTGATTTGTCGTTCACTACCTTTTGGCTTGGGGTTTTTTAGAAATTTTTTCAGATTTTTTTTTTTGTTTTTTTTTTGCCTTGATTTTTTTATTAAATTTTTGTCCGATTTTCAGACGTATGAATGCAAGGAAGAGTAAGAGCACATCAAATTCCTCATGTTTGGGTCACTAAACGTTGCAAACAACCAAATAAACGAAAATGTGCAGTTTGTTTAAATTCGCTAGGATTTTTGTTGCAATATGAAAAATGTCAAAGTTGCAAGTTTGTTAAGTTTATAGATGTTTTTTATTGGAATTTAAGGTTGTCGGTACATATTGAATGTAAAAAGAATTCACGGGTGCGTGATAATTGTGGTTTAACACAAAAGCACTTGAAAGAACTGGTCACTCAAATGGTTATTTCTAAAACTCAGGTTTTTCATTTATTATTTGTCTCTTATAATCGAACTTTGGTCTTTTTTCTTGGGGATGTCAGGATAGACGGGGCTCCTTTTCGTACCCTACCGTTTTAAATCAGATTGTTCCTTTTCCCTTGTTTTTTAGGAATGAGGTGAAAACGGGTCCTGTGATTCTGTTTTATGTCCTGACCTTCTTAAAATCATGTTGGACCCTTTTTCTGATTTTTTAAAGTGCTAGGTGAAACTTGGATCGGGTGTTTTGTTTTAGCATCTCAGTCGATTCCGCTGTCCGTCCGGTTTTGTTTACTGGCTAATTTTCAATTCCCTGTTCCCTCCGGTTTTGTTTCCCGTCCGATCTTTAATTCCCGGGTCACTCCTGTTTGCCTCCAGATTCATTTCACACTCCCTGGTCTCAGTTTCTTCAAATTCTTTGTTTAACTAACTTTTATCAAATAATAAACTTTAGGACAATTGGGCCCCAGAAATTGGGAATTCTCATTCAATGAGCGATATTTACGCTAATGAAGAATCGCCCACTACAATTGTTGTTTCTGAAGAAATTCAAGTTCAACGGACAGAAAAATTTGACAGAAGATCGTGGAATATGTTTACGCTAAGAGCTTGGAAGGATGACTTAATACCTAACGGTGAACTTGAGGTTCTATCGCCAATTGGGCGCGGAAGATTTGGAGAAGTTTGTGATTTTATAAGATATTTTAAAGATTTTTCTCATTGTCATTCTCATAAATGGGATTTTTTAGGAGAATTATTGTTCATATTTTCGACTCCGAGTACCTTCCTTTGCTCTCAAATTTTTTATATTTTTTCCGATTTCGGGGGGAGGGGGAGATGAACTTTCATGTCAGCGTATGAGAAAACTTGCTGTTTGTGAGAAAAATAGCCTTTGAGTTTTTGACATTTCAAAGTTTTGATAACTGACATCAGATTCTAGCTCATTATCGGTGTATAGTTTGGCTTTTCAGTGACTACCGGGTGGTTTACGCCCACTACAATTGTTTAATCGCCCTTTCCAGCCTTCCATTTCCTTTCCGTTTCATCGCCCTTTCCAGTTTGGTATTTTGGCGGCTTTTCGGGGCTTTGGTATTTCAGCTTGTTGGTATTATCGGATCATACCATTTTTCCTTCTTTTTTGAATATAAAGTTGAAAGCACCTCATTTACTCCATACTTATTATTTATTTTTTTAGGTCTTCGCTGCCTACTACTACGAACCCGCAGTAATCAAATTTTTTGACATGTATCATGTTGACGTGCACAAACGTTTAGAAGTCTTTAAACAAGACACTGCCTGTTTTCAAAATGTTCGACACGAAAATTTAATTTTTTTTCGAGGCTTTTACACAATTGACCGGTCAAAATTGGGTATTGTAATGGAATATATTAAAGGGGATACTTTGTTTGATATTTTGCATGATCCTGACAATGATAGACGCCCAATAGATTTTAATGATATTATTGAATATGCTAAACAAATTTGTCAGGTTTGAAAAAAAATTTTTTGTGTAAAAAAGGCTTTGGGATTTTACTAGGGAACGGGCCTTTAGCCAGGATAAATTTTCAATGGGGACTGGTTTGCAAAGGACTCCCATGAATTTCGCGTCAGAATTTTGTACTTTTCGGTATCAAAGAAGTAAAAAATATGAGTTACAGCTCGAGAAGTTCGTGTTAAATTAGGTATATTATTCTTGTGAGCTGTCCGCAATTTATTTGCGGACACGAATTTAGGTAACCAATGTTTTACTTTTTGCTAATACCTTGTTAGATTTATTTTATTAAATTTGAGGTAATATTGAAGCGTACAGACCCCCTTTTTTCTCCCCAATTTTTTTCATATATTTTTACAAAATGCTCACATCAGTCTTTTTCCTTTCTTCCATCCAATTTTCTTCCATCTATCAATCAAAAATAATCCTTTTTGTTTGATTGTAGGCAAAAATTAGAAAGGCAAATTGGATGGAAGAAAGGAAAAAGACTGACCATTTTGTAAAAATATATGGGGAAAATTAGGGAGGAAAGAAGGGGTCTGATTACCTATTTTGACGAGATAAATTTGTTTCCGACCTTCTTTCCGGCTCCGTAGCTTGTTCTAAGAGCCATATATAGCTCGGACATCTTATTTTAAAAATTCTTGACTTGAATTTCTTCCCTTTTCTATATTTCTTTTATTCTAGGGAATGTCATACCTTCATACCAGACATATTTTGCACAAAGATTTACGTTCAAAAAATATTTTTGTAAGTGAAAGACGGTCAATAAAAATTACAGATTTTGGAATTTTTAATTTAAAAAGGCTATCATATCCCAACAGGTTTTATTTTTTTTTGAATTTTAGAGAAATTTTTGACAAAAAAAATTTTTTTAGAAATTATTCATTTGTTGTTCCGTTCAATTGGCTTCGTTATATAGCTCCAGAACTTTTGAGAGTGTTAAATGAACGTTTTGATCCAGTTACGTTTACAGAAGCTTCTGATGTTTTTTCTTTTGGGTCTGTTTTTTGGGATATATTTTTTTGGACGTGATCCGGAATAAGTGATTTCGCTATAGGATACTACCCATTTTTTGGATTATTTTATAGTGATGCTATTATTGATAGCTTTTGGCTAATTTAAATTTTTAACTTTTTGTGTAAATTTTGTTTGGTTTTCAGCACAATCTGGTACGAGTTGTTAACAAATACATTTCCTTTTGATTCTATGCCTTTTGATTTTGTCATATGGCAAATTGGATCTGGAATCAAAGCACCTTTGACTGATCTGAAAATGTGTCATGAAGCTAAGGTTATCCATTTTTAATTAATTTTTTTTTCTATTTTTTGAGAATAACCCTGGAAATGCCATGTTCGGGTCTTGGGGAAATGGGACCGAAATACCAAGCCCTTTGGAAATGACACCTAAATTCTAAACCCCCAAAAGAACACTGAAATACCCAACTATGGATTGATGCCGAAACTCCAAATTTCAAAATCCACCAAAATACCCAACTATGGATTGGTGTCAAAATGCCAAATCCCTACAAGATTCCTATCTTTATCAAAAAATTGCTTAAAATTCTCTATTAATAATTTTTTATAAGGTTATTCACGACACAGTTAATTTTTGCCTTTGTCGATATAAAGTCCTTCAATTTTCCTCATTTGTCCCGTCACAGGCGAAAATTAATTGGTCTTTAACAATTCTACTTTTTTAAATCTTCTCTTTAGGTATTTCTCATGTATTGTTGGTCTTTCAACCCTTTGGATCGAAAATTATTTTCTGAACTTCTCCAATTGCTCAAAACTATGCCTAGAATAACTTTAAGGCGTAGTCCATCTGTCCCATTATGTAAAAGTTTTGAATCAATTTTCTGACAAACTTTCTCAAAATTTAAAAAAAAAGGCAAGCGCATTTTCTTGTGATATATAAATTTTTTTTTGTTTTATTTTTTTGGACACACTTCTTTTTCTTGTTTATTTTTTGTGTGAATAACATTTTTTTGTTTTAAAATTTAGGGGTTGGTCCTCGATTCCGATTTCCATCGCCTCTGGTCCCCGTTCTCTCCCTACCCCTCACCCTCTGGCCACGAGGTGAGGGGTAGGGAGAGGAGACCCTCACGGGGTGAGGGATAGACTTGGGTTCACTTTTCCCTTACACCTTTGGGTATGTGCCTGGATCCTGATCCTCCTTTCTGTGTATGGGCTTGGGTCCCCGATTCCCTATCCTTTTTTAGGCTATGGGCCCAGGTCCCCGATTCTCCACACCCTGGCTATCTGCTTGGGTCTCTGTTCCCACCCAGCGATGATTTTTAGTTCCTTCCCCGATATCCTTTCCTCCCTAAAAAAGATACCCCGACATATCATGGACCAACCCTAATAAAAATAAAGTATTTAAAATTTTCTTTAAAAATTAATGAAGATTAAAAAGGCCATATACTTTTTTGATTTTATTTTTTTTTTAATTTGTTGCTAGACAAATTTTTATTTTTTATTTCTCTTTATTCTTTAAATATTTTTAAATTTTTATTTTTTAATTTTTAAAAATGGCTACTTTACTTTGTTCAATTTGTGGTCAACAACCTGAAGTCCCTGTTGTGTCACCCGTTTCTGGAAAAATTTTTGAAAAGCGTTTGATCGTGAAATATATTGAAGAAAATGGTACTGATCCAATTAATGGAGGAAAGTTGGAAGTTTCTCAGGTTTTTTTTTTAATTTTTTTTGGGGTTTTTTTAATTGGTTCTGTTCGTTTATCCGCTCGCAGTTTCATTTTTCTTTCCTTTATAAAATTACAAAATGGTCAAATATGGATATGGACACCTTGTCTTTTTATGGTACTATTGCATTATACCAATACTTATCCGCAAAAATGTCCGCAAATCATGCCTCCGTCCGCAAGAATGTTTGTCCGCAAATCACGCATTTGTCCGCAAATCTTGCCTCCGCAAAAATGTTTTCTCCGCAAATATCCTTCCGCAAATGTTTATCTTTCCTCTATCTTTCCTTCCTCCTTTCATCATGATTAAAAAATGTTCAAATAGTACCTAAAATTTTCTTCGTCCGCAAATGTTTATCCTTGCCTTCTCCCTAAATCTTTGCTCCTTTCATAAGGTTCAAAAAATGTTCAAAGATTAATAAAGGTCAGGCAAATAAAATACCAAACACGTAAATTTTCCTCACCTCCATTTGCAATAGTAGTACATTTTTGCTTTGATACAAATTTTTGGGAAGCATTTGTCCGCAAAAAACGTCCGCAGAAAAATTAGTCTGCAAAAAAGCGTCCGCAAAATTTTTGTCCGAAAAAAATGTACGCGGAAAAATTTATCCTCAAAAATCGTCTGTGAATTGCCGGCGGATAAACGCATAGATACAAAAAAAAATTTTTTTAACTTTAATTTTAGCTCGTCGAATTAAGTCAAGATCAGGACACTAAACCTATTCAACTGTTTGTTTTTGCTTTTATTTTTTAATTGAATTTTTGTTTTTAAGTTCGCTTGGCACGGCATCTTTACCATCTCTTCTTAAACAATTGCAGGACGAGTGGGACGCGACGATGTTGAATACTTTTACTTTGCGTCAAGAACTCAAATCTGTTAGAGAAGAATTGACGCATGCTTTATTTCAGGTTTTTTAAAGTATAATTTTGAGTGTTTGATTTGTTCATATTCGGGGGTGGTGTCTCTTTCGTCTCAATTTTGTTCTGAAAATATCTCCAGAAAATTTTTGTTCACGTTAAATGTCCGCAAAAATATATTTGTCCGAAAAATAATTGTCCTTACAATTGGAATTAATTGTCCGCAAAAAATGACCGCAGAAAGATTTGAGTGCAGGCCTACGCCGCCCAAAATTATTCTTTTATGAGAGATTAAAGGGTATTGGTGGATTTGGCAAGATATCAGGGATTTGAAGGGATATTGTGGGATTTGGGGGCATTATAGGGTATATTGAGTTATTTGGGGGGAGTAAGAGGGATATTGGGGGATTAAAAAGGGTATTGGAGATTTGGAGAGATATAAGGGATTTGAGGGGATATCGGTGTAGTCGGAGATATTCTAGGGTATATTGAGGAATTTGGTAGAGTAAGAGGCGTATCGGTGAATTAAGACAGACATTGTGGGATATAAAGGTCTTTCTTTACAAAATCTCAAATTTTTAGAATGATGCAGCCTGTCGTGTTATTAACCGTTTGAGTAGTGAATTACAACAAACGCGTCATATTATTGCTACATTACCTCATGGACGAGGCAAAAATGTTGAAAGTGAAGTTGAAGTTACTGATGTTGAGATGCATCAAGATGGAGAAGGGCTTCCTGGAATTGATACGGATTTGATTGAGGTTTGTTTTTTTTGAGGGGGGGGGGGGTTAAATTATTAGAGTTTGGCATCGGCTCATGTCTGATTTCGCAAGCTCGGTGTTCTAGAAACTTGAGTTTTCGGACCCGGCATCTCATAGTTGTGGTAACCAGAAACTTGATTTTCAGTCTGTAGCCCGGAAACCGGGTATTTTCGATAAAATCTGTTTTCTGAGTTCTGAGTGGAAAACGTGGCCATGGTCAGCCGCGAGGAAAACGCCCGATGCTGGACCCAGGATTGTGTTTCCAGACCTCTTAGCCCAAAACCCGTTATTTTGATAAAATTCGGTTTTTCCAACAGAAATGACCCGACAGAAGATGATTTTTCGATTTTTGAAAGACCGAAAATATTTTGAAGGACCTTTCTTATTTTAGCCTCCCCTGAACATTCTGGATACGCCCTTGAAATTCAATCAAATTTTATTTGCAATAATATACTTTTTTTATTCTTTCCAGTTCTTCACATTAAAAAGCCAAGAATTTTCCTCTTCGCGTAAACAAAAAGGAAAAAATTTGCCTGAAGACTTGGCATCTGTTGAAGATGTTAAACGATATGAAGAAATTAAATGCCACGATGCTTTGCATAGTGCAAGTGTTCCGGGAATTACTGCTTTGGATTTGCAGGTTTTTTTAATGTTTTCCTTTCAGTAAAAATAAAAGGTATTTTTCCGTTATCCCGACGGGGAATAATTTTAATAAGGACTACGCCGAACTATGACAGAATAAATTCGGAGACTCGGCGAGGACTCTAGATATTCAAAAATTATAAGAGTCGAAATGGTCAAAATCTAGTAAAAGGACTCGGAATGGTCAAAAATTAAAAATAAGGCTTGAAATGGTCAAAAGTAGAAATTGGGTTCGAAATCGTCAAAAATTCAAAACAGGGTTCGAGATGGTTAAAAACTGAAATAGGGTTCGAAGTGGTCAAGAACTTAAAATAGGGGCTCGAAATGGTCAAAAAATCAGAAAGGGCTCGAAACAATCAAAAACTCGAAATAGGGCTAGGAAAGGTCAAAAACTTGGAATAAGGTTGGGAGTGTTCAAAAACTCGAAATAGGGCTTGGAATGGTCAAAAACTCGGAATAGGGTTTGGTGTGGTCAATCACTTAAAATAGGCCTAAACGGATAACGGAAAAGTACCAAATAAATTTTTTTTAGCAAAATATGATATTAACTGGTGGTATTGACAAAACTGTCGTTCTATTCAATTCTCAAACGGAGACCGTTGAAAACGTTTTCAAAGGAAATCAGAAACGTGTTAATGCAATTCGTTTACATCCAAATTTGGAAACTATAGTTTCTGGAGGGCAGGATTCAAAGGTTTGAGAATTTTTTTTTGAAAATTTTTTTTTATTTCAGAATTTTTTTTCAAAAATTTCAAAAATTTTTTTGGGAAATTTTTAAAAATTTTCAAAAAATTTTTGAAAAATTTTTTAAATAATTTTCAGATTCGAATTTGGTTGGCTAATGATCCAGATGCTCGTAACGTAATTAATATTCACGACACAGCAATTACGGATGTCTCTCTTCATCCAACTGGAGATCACTTTCTTTGTACTTCAGACGACTCGTATTGGTCATTAACTGATTTAAATACTGGCAGCCCGTTAATTAAGGTTTTTTTTCGTCTTTTTTTTTCAAAAAGGGGGGGATGTGAGGAAAATCCTTATCTCTATTCCTGATTCTAACGTCCAACTTTGAACGGCCATAAGTCGACCCAAAGTCATGTTGCAAGGATTCGATTTGCAATAGAAAATTGTGGGTCTTTTATCGAATGACAAGGGCGTATCCAGGGGGGGGGCTGGGGGGGGGCTAGAGCCCCCCCCCCCCCCCCCCCCCCCGAAATGGGGGAAAGGGGGAAAAAATTAGGAGAAGGATGGTCGAAAAAGTGAAATTTTTTCGCCTACAACCTTCAAATTTTAAAAAATTTTCGCCTGCGGCGCAAAAAGTGGAAGAAATCTGGCCTCTTGAGCTCCAAAATCCTCAAAATTTTCGCCTGCGGCGCAAAAAAAGTGAATTTTTTTGGCCTACGGCCTTCCAAAATTCAAAAAAATTTTTGCCTGCGGCGCTGAAGTGATGAAAATTTATGTACAAAAAATTTGCGTCCGGAACGCCAAGGTAAACGCCAAAAATTTTGCGCCCACCCAGTGTTAGCCCCCCCCCCCCCCCCGAAACCGACCCCCTGGATACGCCCTTGTCGGATGATATCAAAAAATAATTCGCACCGATATCATAAGATACTTCTCTTACACCATGGGTCGCATGTGTGTATACTTGCAAACCAAAATTCTGGTGTTTTCGCAACGTCAGAATTTTGGCGTGTACACTCCATTTCGCCCCCTTGAAATTTGACCCCTTGTTCGGATTTTTTTCTGGATATGCCCTTGCAAGAGTCCATCTTATATTGAGGTTTGTGTTAACTAAAAAATTCTAATAATTAATTCTAAGGTCAAATCTGGTGATGATGACGTTTCTTTACGTTGTGGACAATTTCACCCTGACGGTTTAATTTTTGGAACTGGTGCAAAAAGTTCAATAGTTAAAATTTGGGATATTAAAGAACAAAATAATGTTGCACAATTTCCTGGACATTCAGATTCTGTTTGTGCAATATCATTTTCTGAGAATGGTTATTATTTGGCTACTGGTTCTTTGGATGGAGAAGTTAAAATTTGGGATTTGAGAAAATTGAAGAATTTGAAAACTATTTGTCCTTATAATGCTAAACAAGCGGTTTTTTTTTATTTTTATTTTTTTTTGTAGTTTGGGGATTTTTTGAGGGATTTGGGTAGGGTTTTTTGGGGGAGAGATTTTTCAGGCTAGGACTTTTGCGAGAGGAGGATTTTTTGGGGGAGGGTTTTTGGGGAAAGATTTTTCTAGAGGTTTTTTGGGAAGGTTTTTTTTTTTCCCCCCCCCCCCCCCCCCCCCCCCCCCGAAATGGGGGAAAGGGGGAAAAAATTAGGAGAAGGATGGTCGAAAAAGTGAAATTTTTTCGCCTACAACCTTCAAATTTTAAACAATTTTCGCCTGCGGCGCAAAAAGTGGAAGAAATCTGGCCTCTTGAGCTCCAAAATCCTCAAAATTTTCGCCTGCGGCGCAAAAAAAGTGAATTTTTTTGGCCTACGGCCTTCCAAAATTCAAAAAAATTTTTGCCTGCGGCGCTGAAGTGATGAAAATTTATGTACAAAAAATTTGCGTCCGGAACGCCAAGGTAAACGCCAAAAATTTTGCGCCCACCCAGTGTTAGCCCCCCCCCCCCCCCCCCCCCCGAAACCGACCCCCTGGATACGCCCTTGTCGGATGATATCAAAAAATAATTCGCACCGATATCATAAGATACTTCTCTTACACCATGGGTCGCATGTGTGTATACTTGCAAACCAAAATTCTGGTGTTTTCGCAACGTCAGAATTTTGGCGTGTACACTCCATTTCGCCCCCTTGAAATTTGACCCCTTGTTCGGATTTTTTTCTGGATATGCCCTTGCAAGAGTCCATCTTATATTGAGGTTTGTGTTAACTAAAAAATTCTAATAATTAATTCTAAGGTCAAATCTGGTGATGATGACGTTTCTTTACGTTGTGGACAATTTCACCCTGACGGTTTAATTTTTGGAACTGGTGCAAAAAGTTCAATAGTTAAAATTTGGGATATTAAAGAACAAAATAATGTTGCACAATTTCCTGGACATTCAGATTCTGTTTGTGCAATATCATTTTCTGAGAATGGTTATTATTTGGCTACTGGTTCTTTGGATGGAGAAGTTAAAATTTGGGATTTGAGAAAATTGAAGAATTTGAAAACTATTTGTCCTTATAATGCTAAACAAGCGGTTTTTTTTTATTTTTATTTTTTTTTGTAGTTTGGGGATTTTTTGAGGGATTTGGGTAGGGTTTTTTGGGGGAGAGATTTTTCAGGCTAGGACTTTTGCGAGAGGAGGATTTTTTGGGGGAGGGTTTTTGGGGAAAGATTTTTCTAGAGGTTTTTTGGGAAGGTTTTTTTGAGGTTGGTTTTTTCAGGCTGGTTATTGGGGAGTACTTTTCTGGAGATTTTTGGGGAGGATTTTTTGGGGCTAGGTTATTGGGAAGGGTTTTTGGGGCACGATTTTTCTGGAGGTTTTTTGGGAATGATTTTTTGGGGAGGATTTTTTAGGCTAGGTTATTGGAGATTTTTTGGAGAGGATTTACTCAAGCGTTTCCCTTTTTATCAAAAAACCTCATCAATTTTCGGAACCCTAGAAGTTTAAAACAAATTGGGGAGAGGATACTCCTCAACAACCATGGAACTTGAGAATAAATGGAGGTTTCCATGGTCTCCCGGGCCTATACATATACATAATAGGTGGTGGGTGGGTCAATTTAGATTTTTGGGGGAGGTTTTTGGAGAGGATTTTTGGGGAAGGTTTTTTGAAAGGATTTTTTTCAATTTAAAATAGAAGTTGCGTCGGATTTCGGATCGGGGTTCGAATTTTGTGTCGAAAAATGTCCAGATTTTGGCTCTTGGGTTGTGGGTAACTCGTCCTATCCATGGCCCACCTAAAATGAATTTTTAATTTGAAATTACTTTTAAATATTTTTTTAAGGTAAATGCACTCACATTTGACCAATCTGGGGCTTATTTAGCAATTGGTGGGGCAAATGTTCAAATATTTCAAGTAAAATCATGGAATAAAATTTATCAATTTGATGGACATACCCAAGTAGTTACTGGAATTAATTTTGGAGAAAATGCAAAATTTGTTGCTTCGAGTAGTTTGGATAAGACTGTTCGTATTTTTGGGTTAAGTTGAAATTGAAAAATGTTAAAAATTTTGATTGATGGATATTTGTTTAGGGGTTGGTCCCCTGCCCCGTAAGGGACAAATTTTTTCGGGGAAAGAGGGTGTCGGGAAATCGTCTTTGGGATTAGGGTCAGGGATTGTGGACTGTAGGATAAGGTTGGCGGTTCCGGGTATCCGGAACCGAAAAAACCCCGGATATCTGGAAATCTTCGGTTCGGATATCGGTTCCGGATATCCGGAAATTTCCCAGGAACCGCCATCCTTACTGTAAGAGCGGTCGGGGAATGATCTTTGGAATTGGGGTCAGGGAATGGACTGAGGAGCGGGAGGTGGATGTCGGAAAATGGATTGTGCTAGGGAATCGGGGTTGAGGAATGTCGCCTAAAAATCATTGTAGAGCGGAATCGGGGTTGAGGACCAACCCTAAATTTTTTTACATCATTATTATTTTTTGGTTTTTTTTATTTTTTAAAATTACATTTATTTTGTGTTTTTGAAAAATAAATTGAGAGAAAAAAAATCTTTTTTTATGATTCATTTACATATTAATTTTATATTTTTATATTTGATCATTTTTCTGTTCTTTTCTATTTAAGTGTACAGGGATCCCGTTAATCCCAAAAATTGAAAAGAAACCCCCGTGATTAGTGGACGGCAAAATGTCTATTCGGTAATTTGTCCAAGCTTAATCAACTATAATTAGTTAAGATAGTTTACCGAAAGTACATTCTGCCGAAATTTTTATTTTCTTTTTTCGTTCCCTCCACTTTTCACCTTTATTCCACCTCCATTGGCATTTCTTTGTTGCTGTTTAATCATGCATTAAAAACATGTGAGTACACGTGGTGTACACACTCGAGAAAAAAAATCATAACGCTCAGAACACATTCCCAAATTTTTTTCTTATCATTAAAAAAGGTCATTTCCGATTTTTTCTCAGTTTTCTGAAATGACAAAAATAAGGCGCGATTAAAGGACAAAATTTCAGGAAATGGCATTTCGAGTATTTGACATTTTGAAAAATTTTTTTGGAAAATTTCAAAATGTCAAATACTCAAAATGCCAAAAATTAAAATTTTTTTTAATTTTAAGTAGATGATTGATAATAGTCTTGTAGTTGGTGTCAATCCTCTTGCACACCTTAAGGATGGAGCCATTGATTTTGTTGCTGGAACGGCTGGTGGTGTTGCAATTGTTTATTCTGGACAGCCTCTTGATACAGTCAAAGTAAAGGTTTGTGTTTTATTTTTTTTTGTTCAGTTAATTTTGTCTCTCGGCCCAAGGGTTTGAGCTGGTTTATCTCAAGTAGGGTAGGTAGTGGAATGTTCTACCTACCCTTTTTTTCTTCCTAAAGTTTTATTAAAAGGTACATAATGGTCAGAATTCTAGTCTTTTTTTTTATTCCCCTACACTAAAAGCGTATTAGTTTTTAGCAAGGAAGGCTTCGAGGTTGAATGTGGAAGGAAAAAACAGGTCTGACCATTATGGGCTTTTTAAGTTAAGCTCGAAAAGGAAATACCAGGTAAACGATAATATTACGGCCCGTGAGTGGGAGAGTCGGCTTGTAGCAGGCCTTCAAAGAAACACCCCACTATAAATTACTCTCTATTTAAGCTACTCTTTATAAGGTATGATTTTTTGGGTCGGGTTTATCTTAAATTGATGTCCTGAGGTCCGACTTTTTTTTTATAGATGCAAGCATTCCCTACATTAAATCGCAATTGGCTAAGTTGCTTTGGCAATATTATGAGGACCGGGGGCATAAAAGGATTGTATGCAGGTTTGCGACATTTTGTCTTTTTTTGAAATTTATTTTAAAGGTTCAATACCATCCTTAGTGGCCAATGTCTCCGAAAACGCGGTCCTGTTCACTTCATATGGATTTTGTCAAAAAGCTGTAGGGTATGCAAGTGGATCCAATACAACTGGGCCGTTGGGGAATGCTACAGGTTTTTTGTTCAATTTTTGGTTTGGGAGGGTAGATAATTTCGAAATTGTCAAGACGCAACTTAAAATATTGACCCCAAGGCTTCGCCCTAAACTAACTTAAGATTAGCCCCCAAAATTAAGTTGGACCCCAATACCCAAGACTGGATTTAAAGGCCCAGGATTTAAGCAGACTGATGAAACCAAAAAGTCCATGTCTCTAAGGGGAAGGAGGGCGGTGGATTAATTTATGGTTTTTTTGAGCAAGAGGTAATTTAACTAAACAAATTTTTTTATAGCCGGAGCGTTGGCTGCTTTCTTTGCCGCTATTGTATTATGCCCGACTGGTATTTTACGAAGATTTATTTTTTTATGAAATCTTTCATATTTAGAATTGGTCAAGTGCAAATTACAAGCTCAATCGGAAGTTAATTCTAGGCTTGTCAAGTTTGTTGTTTTAATTTTTCATATTTTTTCTGAGAGCTAGTAGGAGTGGTCCATTTTCGTTTTGGACGTTTTCCTCTCGTTTTTTGTTGTTTTCCTTTTTAGAGGAGGGAAGTGAGTAAGGTCGTAGTATGAATTGGAGTTCCTTTTTAACCTACAACTTTCACCTGCTTCGTTATTTTTTGGCCTTTTTGTTTTCTTATTTTTTTACGTTTGTTTTACATTTTAAATAAAAATACTGCTAGGTCTCCTAGAACTTTTGAAGAGGGAGGCAACCCCGTAGCCATGGGGAGGGAGGGGGTTATGGGCCCAGAAGCCTCCCTGACTCGCTCTTGCTTCCCATTAATTATTGTTTGAATTTTTACAGAACACCAGCCTCCATTTGTCGTGAAATGCTTCAAGAAGGAGGAATTCGGTCATTTTATACAGGATTTGTAGCTACACTAATACGTGAAGTTCCTGGATATTTTTGCTTTTTTGGAGCGGTTATTTTATTTTTTTATTTTTTATTTTTTTAATTCATTTTTAGTATGAAATGTCAAGGAAATTTTTAACTCCGATTGGAAAAACAAAAGAGGAAATCGGTTTGGAATTTGAAAAAAATTTTTGAGACAAACTCTTTTTAAAGGAGTATTAAGAACAGCTATTTCTGGTGGTATTGGAGGAATGGCATTATGGACAGCTATTTTCCCTGCAGATGTTGGTTGGTATTTTTTTTTTAATTTTTCTTTGTAAAAATTCTCTGGGACTTGGCAATATATGTCTATGTTTTCCTGGTTTAAAAAATCGAATGTATCATGGGCGGGAAGTTCTTGGAAAAAAATTTTGGCACTTTTTTGTACTATTAGTCCTCTAATCTTGGATGAATAGACCCCCTGGTTACCCCCTTGCTGTTTTGGTACGAGTACGAATTTTGGTACGAGTGCTTTACTTACAAGGAACCATCGTTTTTGTGACTGAGAATTTGATATATTTTTTGGTACCATTCGATAGAGGACCCTCGACTTACTATTGTCGTTTGCGGGTTTTCTTGTAAAATTTAGTTTGGGCTGAGTTGTTTCACTGATTCACACATGGTTTCACTGACAAATGAGTAACCTGGCTTTAAAATAAAAAAATATTTTATTGATATTATATTTTTTTAGTAAAGAGTCGAATGCAAATAGGCGAAACTGGACGATTTTCAACCATTTTAATGAAAATTGTTAAAAATGAAGGTTTATTTTTTTTAATTAATTTTTTAAAAATAAAAATTTTTTTAAGGAATTTCTGCATTATATAAAGGATTGTCACCAACATTAATTCGAACTTGTATTGCTAGTGCAGCTTTATTTATAACTTTTGAAAATATTAAAACTTTTCTTCATAGTTTGTGATTTTTTTAAATTTAAATTTATTTTTTTTCTTGCTCAATTTCTTATATTTGTAACTGCTCTAATTAAAGCCTTGATCGTCTATTTTTTAGGTCACTTTGGGTGAGCGTGCATTAATTAGAACATTTACGGTATTCCTTCTTTTGTGCCTTTAAATTTTTTTGAAAAATTTCACTTTAAAAAATTTCTTAACTTTGTGTGCAGTTAAAATTTGTACGTTTTTGTATTATCAGTCAAGCATTGGGGATAGGCCGGGTTACCACCCAATACTTGAAACCCTGTCTTTTTTCAACCCAAGACCGATCTTAAAACGATTTTGAAACTCGAAGTTTGACCCAATTTTTTTATCAACTCGGTCCATTCCTTGGTTGACTGGAAACGGGCTTTTGATTTTTTGATTAAACCAGGTTCTTAATCACCTTTGTTGGTCAATTACTTTTAGTTTTTATTACTTATTGTTAGCATATCAATTAAAGTTTTTTGAATAAAGATTTTTTAATTTTTTTTGACAGGCTTTCCTTTAAATATATCTTTCTGTTTTTTGTGTCCGCAAAAATTTTCGGACACAAAAAATGTCCGCAAATTTTTTGCGGACAAAATTCCGCAAGTTTTTTAATCATTTTTAAGATAAAAATGTCACATCGTGGTATTGTTCATGAATCTCGTCAACAACAACAAGATGAGAGGCGACTTCCTTTTCACTTGTCTGATAATGAATTGGTTAGTGAAATATTTTTTTAAAATAATTTGGTAGGGTTTGGCCTAGGAATTTAATTATTGTTTTGGCTACTATAGTAATTCCCTTGTGTAGCCACAGAAAATTTTTTGGGACCAGTTTTGACTGCTAATTCCCTTATTTAACCGCTCGGTAAAAATTAATGGTACATTTTTTTCGGAACATTTAAGCATTGGTACGATCCTGAGACCCCAAGTTAACGGGCTTTTAGGCTACCGAAAGTCCGCAAGTTTTATCCGCAAGTCATTAATCTTTTGTTAAATTTCACCTTTGCCGAATTTTCGACTTTTTAGTGTTTCGCATTTTGTCTTCTTGCATTTTAAATTACCTTTCGCATCGGTGGTCGTGTATTATTTCTGTTTTCTGGGTCACATCCTCTGTTTTATGCAAAAATAAAAATTTTTTGATTTGCGGATAAAACTTGCGGACTTTTTAAAAATATTCATTTTAGTTGTGCAAAAACCAATGTGGCTTTTACGGCACCCCACAATGCAAAGGACTTTGTTCTCAATGCTGGAAGAATTATCAACTCGAAAATAAACGCTTGTATGACTACAACAAAAACAAAGAATTGTTGAGGAAGGAAACGACTGAAAGAAATATTGCTAGCAAAACTTCTGATGTTAGGCAAACTTTTCGAACGCTTTTGAAAAAGTCGCCTTCGGTATTTTCAATTTTGTTTTTAATTTTTCTTTAAAGGACCCCGTCTTATTTTCGGAATCCTGACTTGTTTTTAAGGCATTCTTCCTGCTTTCCTTAAAATCCGCAAATGTTGTCCGCAAAAATTTAGTAATTTGCGGACTTTTGTGATTATTTTTTCTTGCCCTTAAAATCCGCAAAATTTATCTGCGAATATTGATAGAGATTTTTTTAAAGAAGGAGACCACATCTCCCGGCCTTGTCGTTATTTTCAGAATCCTGAGTATTTTCAGGGTCACAGCAAATTAACCTGCAACTAGAGAGCCGTTTCAGTGGCACTGAAATAAATAAAATATTTTCTTTTTTTCTTTTTCGCTCTATTTTTTTCGCATGCGGCCTAACTACAGTTTCCGTACCAGGCTCAGAATTGGACGATTTATATGTCATTCGAAAGAGCTCGTCGAGCTGAGTCGAACGACACCAAAATTATTCAGCGGAAAAAATTCTGAGCCGAGATACAGGCCCCCGAAAATCGAAAAACCATAGGGGGGACCAAGCTGATTTTTGGGGTGAAAAATTCCAATATGCAATTAATAGCTCATTTGAAAGAGCTCTTCAAGCCGAGTCGAATGACACCAAAATCGCCGTGATTGGTCAAGTTTGTTCAAAGTTATGACAGAAAAAACAAACAACGTAACCTATGGGGCGTCGGCGAGGCGCTTGTGCAAAACTCCGCGCTTCGCGCGGAGTTTTGCGGCACGCGCCTCGCGGGGAGTCTACGGGCTCTGGGTCTGGGCTCGTAACTTAATCCTATTCCAATTATCGCTGTGATGGGCATGCCCAGCTTCCTCCGCAGCAGCAAGAACATCCACGGAGAACAAAGGTAAGGAGCTAAAACAAACGAGCATAACTTTGTCAAATCAAGTCTGATTTCATTGATTTTGGTGTCATTCGACTCAGCTCGATGAGCTCTTTCGAATGAGCTATAATTTGCATATTCGAATTTTTCACCCCCAGAAAACAGCTTGGTCCCCCCTATGGTTTTTTGAACTTTAGTGGTCTGTAACTCGGCTCAGAATTTTTTCCGCTGAATAATTTTGGTGTCATTCGACTCAGCTCGACGAGCTCTTTCGAATGACATATAAATCGTTCAATTCTGAGCCTGGTACGGAAACTGTAGTTTAGCCTCGCATGCTATTTCTCTAAATATTTGATGTCCAACTTCGAGAAGCTTTATTTCGAAAAAAAACTTTGAAAAAAAATTTCAACTTAGCCAAATCGTTGAACAAAGTCTTATCTTTGTTTTAAAACCAAATTCATTGATTTTTACCATGTTTAAAAAAAGTTACCCATGGGTTTGTAACTAAATTTAGAAAACGAAAAATAAAGGGAAAAACTTATTTAAAAAATGTATTTTACTTTAAAATGCCGGCTGTAGTTTAGTATATGCCCACCGAGATCGAAACTCAAGTTATATACCATTCGATTCGTCTCACCGAGCTGAGTTCAAATATGCAGGAATTTTCTGCCGGAGACGAAAACTCGCAGAGATACAGGCCCCCGAAAATCGAAAAACCATAGGGGGGACCAAGCACTTTTTTGGGGTAAAAATTCGAATATGTAAATTATACCTCATTCGAAAGAGCTCGACGAGCTGAGTCGAATGACACCAAAATCAACAAAATCAGACTTGATTTGACAAAGTTTTGATCATTTGTTTGAGCTCCTTACCTATGGGCTCCGTGAAGATTTTTGTTGCTGTGGAGGGAGCCAGGCATGACCTCATCATCGATGATAGGAATAGGATTAAGTTACGAGCCCAGACCCAGCGCCCGTAGACTCCCCGCGAGGCGCGTGCCGCAAAACCCCGCGCGAAGCGCGGGGTTTTGCACAAGCGCCTCGCCGACGCCCCATAGGTTTACGTTGTCATAACTTTGTTTAAAATCATTCAATCAGGCTGATTTTGGTGTCATTCGACTCAGCTCGTCGAGCTCTTTCGAATGAGGTATAATTTGCATATTCGAATTTTTTACCCCAAAAAAGTGCTTGGTCCCCCCTATGGTTTTTCGATTTTCGGGGGCCTGTATCTCTGCGAGTTTTCGTCTCCGGCAGAAAATTCCTGCATATTTGAACTCAGCTCGGTGAGACGAATCGAATGGTATATAACTTGAGTTTCGATCTCGGTGGGCATATACTAAACCGACCCCAAAATGCCATTAGATGTTAAATAGGAAAGATATTATTGAGATTTTAATTTTATATAATTCATTTTCACTGAAAGGGTTCGAACCTCTTGCATTTTTCTCTGTCATGTAACCAACTAAACCATACTCCCGCACTGAAACGCTGGTTGCACCCTCTGCCTATTTTAAGTTGCTGTGCAGGGTCCTTTTGCCACTAAAATCCGCAAATGTTGTCTGTAACTTTTTGATTTTTAGAGCATTATTAAAGAAAACTTTTCTCCCTTACAATATTTGGTTGACCTACTTTCTAGAAGGTTTAGGAAATTTTTCTTATTTTTATAATTTTGCCTTTCAAAATTTTCCGAATTTTGCCATGGGTTATTATTATTTGTCTACCTAAAAGTCATCGTCCAACGTTTAGCTTAAAAACATTTGTGAACATTTGAAGTAAAAAATTAATGTCCCATTTATAGTCAGAGTCTAAGAAAAATTTTTTGAGAATAAATTTTACTCCCAGTTTACCTGGGTTCCATCCCAGAAGGTCAAATTACCCAATAGGTCAAATACAAAATTTTGTGCGGATAAAGGTGTCTCATGCTCAAGAATATGTTTGCCTGCTTCCTTTTGCATTATCCGTCAGTTTCAACTAGAGTATTTCCGTCCTGTCCCTTAATACCTCTTAATCTCAACAGATCCGTCTTAATATGCACGAATCCATTTATCCGCCCAAAATTTGTATTTACCTTTTGGGTAATTTGACCATCTGGGTTTTGCCCTTCTGGATTGATCTTCTAAACAGTATTTTCTAGATGTCTCTTCATCCCCTCATGATATCCCAATATCCGCCCAAATCCCTCCAAACTAGTGTTGACTCTAATAAGGAGTCATTTGATCTCTAGGGAGTTGATTTTGTGGGATGTCTTATTTTATAGAATAACCTTTCAGTTAAATTAACGATTTGTTTTTTCAGACGACCAATTAACTTCTCAACAGCAACAATCATCTTCTCTTAATATGGCTCCTACAATTTTGGATGAAAGGTTTTTTAAAATTTTTTTTGAATTTTTAAAAATAATTGGTAATATTGAAGAGTATGGGCCCCATTTTTTCCCCCTATATTTCCCCCTATATTTTTACAAAATGGTCAGACTTTTTCCTTCCATCCATCCAACTTGCCTTTATAATTTTTGCCTTGAAACAAGGAAAAAGGATTATTTTTGATATTTTATTTCCCGTTTTAATAGAGAAAATGGTCTTCTCAAAACTCATACTTGTTAAATACCAAAAAATCTTTTTTCTTTGTTTCAAGGCAAAAATTATAAAGGCAAGTTGGATGGAAGGAAGGAAAAAGTCTGACCATTTTGTAAAAATATAGGGGGAAAAATAGGGAGGAAAAAATGGGGCCCATACTCTTCAATATTACCAAATAATTTTTTTAGGTCCTCAAGTCCAGATTCTAGCACAGCATTGGCCGATTTTCAAAAATATTTGTCTTCATCCTTTTCTTTTGGTGATGCAAAAGAGTTGGAAAAACAATGCCGTGTATTTATTGAAAAATTGGCAAAGGTTTTTGATTTTTTTTTTAATTTTTGAAATTTTTGGGTGAATTTTTTGCAAAAAAATTTCCAACAAGCCGTAATGGCAAAACCTTATGTAAGGGGTTAAGACAAATGGTCGGAGGATTTGCCATTTTCTTTTGGGGTTTGACATTACGGCGTCATTTCACAGGTTTGCCATTTCGTCGGCTTTTGGTGGGTTGCCATTACGGTTTTTGCTATAACGGCACGCTACGAGATTTTCAAAAGAATGACCTGAGGGTTTTTATCGGTTTTGTGTTTACGCCAAATGCGTAAACACAAAACCCGATAAAAACGTCGAAATGCCAAACTTTGGAAAAAGTGCCGAAAATAAGGGGCGCTTCATACCCCTTCCACATATGTCTAAAATTACATATTTTCAGGATGAATTGGCTCCAATAGACGACTTGTCGAATTCTGTTCAATCATTTTACCAGACAATGAGAGATGAAATAAATAAAATAAAATCGCTACCTCAAGACTTTAATTTTGCAAAATTTATGACTGAAATTGAAACTTTTGTTTGTGTAACTGGTTATCATATACTTTTTGGTTCGAGGTTTGGGTTTTAATTTTTTGAAATTTTTAAAAATGGGGGTGTTTTGGGCGAGTATTTTTTTTTCTTTGGGAAGTATTTATTTGTCCGCAAAAAATTTTTTGTCCGCAATTTTTTCCGCAATTTGCAAAAAGTGTGCAAAATCCATTCAACGAAACTTGTCCGCAAATTTTTTTGATTTGTCCGCAAAAATTTTTTTGTCCGCAATCTGCTAATAATTGTCCGCAATCCGTAGAAAGGTGTCCGCAAAACTTTTTTTTACCTCAGAAATATTGTCCGCAATCTGCAATAATATTTTGTCCGCAATTCATAAAATGTCCGCAAAAAATTTTCTTGTCCGCAATCCGCAAAATATTTGTCCGCAATTTTTTTTTCTCGTCCGCAAAAAATTTTTTTGCAATTAAAAATTTTTTCAAAATTTCTTTATAAATCGTTTTCGCCTAATTCATGTTTTAAATTTTAATAAAAATTAAAATTTTTTTAACTTTATAGAACCGAGGAGGAAACAGAAGATTTAAGTTTACAAACTCGAATACGTTCATTAAATTGGGTTACAAATGGATTTTTGGAAACTGCTTTGGATGAGTCTTCTGCACAGGTTCAGGAATATATGGATGAGGCAATAACTGAAATTGTGGATTTGAACAGTCAACGATCTGTTGTTAAAAAAATGTTTGTTTTTTTTATTTTTAAAATTTATTTTTATATACCGGACCTCAAAATAAGATTAACTCTAGGTAACAAGGGCGTAGCAAGGTTTCGATTTCAGGGAGGAGGGGCTAAAATAGGGGGTGCGCCAAAATTTTGGCGTTTACTTTGGCTTTTCAAACACAGCTTTTTTTAACCAGTTTTATTTTTTCGGCTCTGCACGCGCAGAAAATTTTTTAATTTTAAAGGTTCTAAGCGAACAAAATTTCATTTTCTCTACCATTTTTCTCCCAATATTTTTCCCTTTTCCCCATTGGGGGGGGGGGGGGGTGGCATAGCCCCAGAAGCCTTCCTGGCTACGCCCTTGCTAGGTAACACTGGTTTTTGTGCTCCAAGCTCGTGCTCCAAATCTTTAAAATTTGCCTCCTAACTGTAAGAAGACTAAATAGGGTTGGATGATCTTGGAAAGCCTCCGGCTGCCCGTGGTGGTTACACCCATGCCAAATTCTACCTTTATCTCCCCTTTAATCCCTGTGTCTTTTTACCTGTAACGTGTTATTTTTATATAATTTAAAGGGAATGCCTCGTTCGATGTTCAAAAAACATTTTCAATGCCCTCAAAGAAAGCCGTTTTGGCGCTCCAGCAAGTGCAGACGAATTTTTGCCAGTTTTAATTTTAATTGTGTTGAAAGCAAATCCTCCATTAATTCAATCAAATTTAAAATTTATTTGTCGATTTGGTTTACCTTCTAGACATATGCGTGGAGAATATGGTTTTTTTTTAATTTTTATTTTTTTAATTTTTTTCTTTTTTAAGGTTATTATTTTACAAATTTGAGCAGGTTTGGAAAAAATTTATTTAATTTTTTGAAGGGGCGGGGAGAGAGAGAGATTACAACGGGCCCCAGTCAAAAATTGAAAAAAAATTTTCAAAGAAATAACTGAAATTGTGGTCTGTTGATTTTGGCTTTTTGTTCTTTTTGTTTCGCCCTTCACCTTCCTAGGGTGGGTATCATTTAAAGTCAATTCAGGAGTTGGATTTCATAGGGCTATAATGTGGGGAGTCCGCCAGCATTTGGCGTTCCAAATTAATTTGTTGTGCTTATATTTTGGGCGATCTTTCCCCTCCTCTAAATACGTCCCTGTTTATCCTTACGTTTTCTGTAGGATATAATAAAAATTTGGTGGAGTCTAGGAGGAGGGTGATGTCACTTTTTCTAACATATCCTCAATAATTAAAAACTTTTAATAGAATTTTTCTTTAGTGCAATATATTTCATTCAAGACATGAGAGCATCAAGTTTACAATTAACAGATGAAGAATTTGAAGATTATACGAGTGGAAAACGTATTCCAACATCATTTAAAAATTCAATAAGCACCTACGTTTGATTTTTTACTTTTAAAAAATTTCAAAAAAAAATTTTTGAAGGTAATGAGATCAATTGGCAACTCAATAAAAAGAATTGATGGATTGTTGAGTAAACAAGCAGAATTAGTTGGAAAAGTGGAACAATTGGAAGCAGGCATTGAAAGGTTAATTAATTTTGGTGTAAAATAGGGGTAGGCTGTTTTAAAAAATATTTTCGACCCGTTACGGATTTTGTGAAATTTTTATTTTGGGCTCATTCGAAAGCTCTTGAAATTTGCTACAAGATAGCAACAATCTTATTTTTCAGAAAAAAATGTTTCCTTAAGTTACAAAGCAGTTCATTTGAGTCCCTTGTTCATTGTCAGTTGAGTTCTAGCCCTATAACTCGTGAAGGGGTGTAATATTCTTGGTACTGCTAAATAGAGAATCAAATACACTACAAGCTCCCAAAAAATCAAAATTCTTGATTGATTTATGAAAAAGTTATGATTTAAAAACTAAAAATTTTTTTTAAAAAATAGGTGATTTTTTGGTAGTTTATCGATCATAACGTTTTTGTCGGTCAATTAAGAATTTTGATTTTTTGTCAACTTGTAGTTTATTCAATTCTCTATCCGATGTTGCCAAGAATGCTAAAAACTGTTCATTCTTTCATGAGTTATAGGGCCTGGACTTTGCTGAGGTTTACCCATTATTTTAATGAGAATTAGTCATTGGCGGTTGTGGTGTAGTGGTAATGTTACTGGCTACACTTGTTTTCTCTTAGAGGTTCGAGTCCTCTCAGTGCAGGACTTTTTAATTTTCATTTTTTCGAATTTATATCGTTATTTTTTTGGTAAAAAAATTTTCTTTGACTTTAAAAAAATTTTTTTTCACCTTTAAAAAAATTTTTTTCTTAACTTTTAAAAATTTTTTTTCAGAGATTCTGAACAATTCAAGCGTCAAGTAAATGAATTTATTAACCAAGACTATCCAGACGAAATTAAGAAAATAATTGAAAATAATAAAAAAGCAGCTAAAGAAGAAGAAGAAGAAAATTCGGGTAGTTAAAAAATAAAATTTAATTTATATATTTTTTTATTAAAAATTATCAAAAATAAATTTTATAGGCCAAAAAATTGAAAAAAAATTTTTTTTCTGGTTAAGAAAATAATCCAAAATAATGTCTTCACCGCAAGATTGCAGATAAGACATAAGGGGTAGTTAGACGTTTATTCACATTAACCTCTTTGTGAGGTACGTCCCGAGGTGCTGCGAGGCCAAAGTGCCGCAGAGCTATAACTTCGTGCAAAATTTGTTTAATTCAGAACGCCCTGATATGGTTCGATGCTGCTTAACGAGCTGAATCGAGCTCTATACCAGGGTTCGATAATTCTGCCCATATAGCTCGATGTTACCTTAGCTTGGCCTGTTTTCGTGGCTTGTTTCCGTAGCCTGTATCCCTCTTTGTGAGGTTAACAAAGTATGTAACGTGTTGAACATGTTCGAACCTGTTGTTCATAACGAAAACACGTTGGCCACGCCATGAACCATTTTGGGACTTTAATTATTCTCTTTATTGTAGACTTCTCATTATTTTTGTTGGTTTTTGAGAACTTGAAAATGACTTGGTTTCTTGGAAAATATTTGAATATCTATAGAACCAAACTAAGGAACTTACGAATATCCGGACCAGAGCTGCGTCGAAATAAAAATATCTTCGAAATTCGGAAATCGAAAATCGAAAGAAATCCAAAAATATCGAAATCGAAAATCGAAATTTTATAAAAAAAATTCGAAAATCGGAAATCGAAAATCGGCAGAAAAAAACGTCGAAAATCGAAAATCGGTAATCGAAAATCGAAATTTTTTAAAATAACTAAAAGAGTAGTAAACAATCCGCAATATGGAGATATAAGGGTTAATCTTGAGATACATATAATGGGATTCAATGGATTTATGGTAGTCTTAAGAGATATCAGTGATCGTAGGGATATACAGGATTAGGGGGTTGACTAGAGACCAATTAAATCCGCACCCTGATCACTTTAAATCCTTTATTCCTCCGATATTCTACTCACCCCTTGATACCCTTGATATCCCATCCTCCTATATCCCTCTTATTATTGTAAGGCAAATGGATTAATTGGAGGCTCGGGTGGAAAGTCAATGATAATATTATTTAGGTGGATTTGGTCAGATTAAGGGGGATATTATATGATATCAGGCGAATATGAGGGATATCAAGGGTTACGCGGGATTTGGGCGGATTATCGTGGGATTTGGGTGGATTAAAGGGAATCTCGCGATCTTCTTATCCCTTATTTTTATCCCTCCATCATTCTTAACCTTTTTTGCGCCGCAGGCGAAAATTTTCAGATTTTGAAGATCACTAAGCCGAAAAGTTCCATTTTCAGCGCCGCAGGCGAAAATTTTGAAAATTTTGGAAGACTAGAAGACAAATTTTTTCATTTTTTAGCGCCGCAGGCGAAAATTTTGAGAATTTTGAAAGGCCAAGTAGCCAAATTTCTTCATTTTTGGCGCCGCAGGAATAAAATCTTAAGAGAAAAGATAATGCAATTTTGCAAAAAAAATCGAAAATCGAACGAAAATCGAAAAAACTAAAATTATCGAAATCGAAAATCGAAATTTTATGAAAAAATTCGAAATTCGGAAATCGAAAATCGGTAGAAAAAAACGTCGAAAATCGAAAATCGAAATTTCGACGCAGCTCTGATCCGGACCCGAACCGGAAAAATTTTTTTGAAGAAGATTTAGTGCTTCGAGGATCAGCAGTGTTTCTGTGCGCCATAAATGGGAAAATATTTTATGGCGCACAGTAACTGATTTTTTAAGGCACTGGTTATCATTATTTGTGGGGGAGATTCTACAAATACTACAAACTTGTTTATTTTTCATCAAAAATTCTTTTTTAATTCATCTTTTTTCACATATAAAAATACTCTAGTTTTTTTATATGTTGATGATGATGATGGTCAATCACTGAATAAAAATGGCGGAAAAATGGTGCTTTTTGTGGGCGATTATCGAATTAAAGAGAGAGAGAGAGATCTCTCTCCCCCAAAAATTTATTTAGAAAATCTCTCATAAAGAGTGGATGCATAATTTTCCGTCAAGCGCTTTTTGGGCGATTTATATCCCATCAATAAAATAAAGCGTAATTTTTGTTTTGTTGAGTTTCAAAAATTGAAGAAAATTAAAAGGAGTATCGACAGGATAAAAATTTTTTTTTATTCCTGTAAAATTAAATTAGAGAAGAGGTTTGAGAGAGGGAGGAATACGGAAATGCTTTTTTGTTTGTGGAATTTTCCTGCGCGGTTCAAATAAAAAGAGAAATTGGAAAAATGAAAGCAATTTCTTTAAAATAAAAAATTCCCTGATCCATAAAATTACGCCATCTTAAATTGGATTTTTGTAAAATTCTTGGAGGTAAAAAGTTGTGTTCTCTTCACACTACTTATAGAGTGAAGGGAACATTGTACGGTGGGGGCAATTATTGAAAGAGGGGATTACCTTCAAGGGGACATGTTCTCTTCACACTACATATAGAGTGAAGGGAACATTGTACGGTGGGGGCAATTATTGAAAGAGGGTGATTATCTTCAAGGGGACATGTTCTCTTCACACTACATATAGAGTGAAGGGAACATTATAAAGTAGGCATGGCTATGTTCTCTTCAAAGGGCCATGTTCTATTCGCACTACATATGGGGCGAAGGGAACATTTATATAAATCGGACATCCAGATTCCTTTCACACTACTTATAGAGTGAAGGGAACATTACAGAGGTAAAGCTTCCCTGATCCTCCAGTATTTTAGCGGCGTTATGGGTAGTGGGTCCCGTCCCCGTCTTCACGGAAAATCCCCTTCCATAGATTCTGAAAAACAGGAGCACTATAAACAAATTTTAAGTTTTCTTTTTAAAAATATGGCTTTGACTGATCTATTTATTATTTTTTCTATTTTTCCGTTTATTTTAATAAATATTCTCAACTTTAAATGCATTCAATCTCAGGTATTTTTTAATTTAAAAATTTTCAAAAAATTTTATCGTTAAGGAATTGGATAAAGGCGGGGTTGGCTCTTTTATGAATTTAATAACTCCAAAGGATATAGCAGAGCTTACACAAGCAGCAACTCAAATTGCAGCCCAAACCTTTAGGAGTAATGGGGAATTAATGTAAAATTTTAAAAGAATTTTGAACACCCGCCCTGAAGACCACTCTGTCGCAAACTGATAACAGTCAATTAGCCTTTTGTAAGGAAGAATTGAGGGAGTGAAGAGAAAGATCCTCGGTATCTCACAATCAGTCAGTAAAGCTCCAAGTACATAGTTAACTAAATTTCTGTTCCCTTCACACTACATGTAGAGTAAAGGGAACATTCATCTTTTATGTAGTAACTACCAGGGGTCTTCAGACTCGTTGCCTGCCCGAAGCTAAACTTTTACCTGTCTCTTACTAAGAGGTAAAAGTCCATTCTTTCAAAGGGTATAGGTCTGCGACAAAATGGTCTCGCGACAAAAAGACAAATTTTTGTGAAATTTCAGTTCAAATTCTGGACCAGAAGTTCGCCCTGTTTCTCTTGATTCTCAGCCATCTGAGGTACTCGAGCCTCTGGAATTTTTTAAATTATTAATTTTTAGATGTTTGGCCAAGGCTTGACGAATTTAATGGGCCCAGTCAGACAAAGCATTGCTAGTGCTTTAACTGGACAACGGGTACAACAACAACAACCTGAAACAAGAGCGTCTTTAAGTAATCCACAACCTTTACAAGGAACTACATCTGGGGAGGATAGCAGTACTAATGGGGGTGAGAAGAAAAATTCTTTTGAAATTGGGGAAAAGATTTTTGGGTTAGGGGAGCCTTTCAGCTCCTTTGAAATCAGGTTAGCTCCTTTGGATCCGAAAAAGTTAGGGTATCAAAAAAGTTTTTGTTTGGGCTCCGAGTTCAGTATCCGAATGAGGTTGAGCGCAAGAGACGACTTCAAGAAGCGGAATGCCCTCGCTTCTGGTTTTGATATAGGTCCAAGCTGTCTATTTTATGGCGCACACCCACCTTCGGATATCGCGAACCCTCAACCAGTGGGTTGGCCCAAACCCGCAACCAGACCAGACGGGTCACACAAGAATCGAGATCTTGTAAGATCCCTATCAGAATCTCCTCTCTTGGCCCCATCCCTAAATTCACAAAAAAATATATTTAACCACAAAGGCGGTCGTTCATTAATTGAACAATTGGCTGGTCAATTTCTTGGAACTTCTGCTAGAAGGGATGATGAAGATACAAGAAGTGGAGGAAATTTTCGCTCTAATAGAGGAATCTCTACGTTTGGGTCAGCAGAAAATAGTAGAGGAGGAAATAATTTGGATGGAATGGTTGGACAGGTGAATAAATTAATAAGTGAAGGAATTAGGCCATAAATGTGAGAAAATTGCTGAGGGAAGGAAGGGGGCTCGTAATCAATGTTTTGGCGTTTCTATTTTTTATGGCGCACACTTACCCTAAGATAATCAGAATTTTTAAAAATCGGAATTGTGGTTTTAAAAAATCAGAACTCTTCTGAAAAATTAATTCTGATTTTCAAAAAAATCAGAATGTTTAAAAATCAGAATTCTGTTTTTTTCAGAATTTTTAGAAATCGGAATTCTGATTTTTCAGATTTTTAAAAATCAGCATTCAAGTTTTAAAAAAATCAGAATTCTTCTGAAAAATTAATTCTGATTTTTCAGAATTTTTAAAATCAGGATTCTGATTTCCCATCAGAATTCTCTCAAAAATTTAATTCTGATTTTTCAGAATTTTCAAAAATCGGGATTCTGATTGTCTCGTCAGAATTTTCTGAAAATTTATTCTGATTCTACTATAAATCGGAATCCATTCATATTTTTTGCGTTTGCAATTTTGGCGCACACCTAACCAAATATTCTCTTACATCACCGAGCCCATAGGTTGACCGCTGGTCATTAACCAAAACCCTCAGGGTTTTGCTCATCTTTCAATCATTTTTTCTTCCCCTTAAGGCAATGCGTCTCTTCTCTGTAGACAATGGAAATAAAAATAATTTAATCACTCCTTCTGATGATAGGCGAAATTCTTACTCATCCTCCTCGTCTTCAAAATCTGTTGGTGTTTTCCCAAAGTTGGATCAACTATTTCCGGGTGCTCAAAAAAATTTTGGATTTAAACAGGGAGAAGGTTGTGTCCCTTTTCTGGGGGAATTTATGGTAATTAATTTATAAAGATTTTTTTCTGCAAAATATTTTTTGTCAGAAAATAGCCTATGGAAATTGTGTTAAGCAGGCGGATGAAAAAGTTGGTTATTTTTAAAGAGTTAAAATCAGAATTCTGACTGTAAAATCAGAACTTTTAAAATCAGAATTTTTAGAATCAGAATTCTGTTTTTAAAATCAGAATTTTTAAAAATCAGAACTTTTAAAATCAGAATTTTTAAAAATCAGAACTTTTAAAATCAGAATTTTTAAAATCAGAATTTTTAAAAATCAGAACTTTTAAAATCAGAATTTTTAGAATCAGAATTTCTAAAATCAGAATTTATACCAATCAGAATTTTTGAAAATCATAATTCAATTTTATACAATCAGAATTTTGACCTTTAAAAATTCTGATTTAAAATTATTAATCAGAATTCTGATTCATATACCAATAAAAATTTTGTACAGACATGGGATACTTGGGGAAAGGAAATAAACAACGCATTAACTGGAGGCAAGTTTTTTCAATAATTCTGAAAAAATCCGAATCATTTTACAGGCAAAATAGACCTTTTGAGGGCAAGCAAAGAAACATGTAAAATGGGCGCAGAAAGGGAACATTGTGGACAATTGAGGAGGGCAATTAGTGGATGTGACATTCTTGGTTGGTAGGGGAAAGGTGTGGGGGGGAGGGCCATTGGATCTAGAGAGGGTATCCGAAACAATTCTGACCGGGGATGTGAATTAGAATAAAGGATGTGCGACAACCTAGGGCCACTTTCAAATTTTTACCGCAAATCGGCAAAATGCCCTCCCTCGCATCAGTAAGATTCCGAACATGGCTGTGCGCCATGGCTTTTGGCATCCATTTTGCACTTGGCATACATTTAAAAATTTGGCGTTTTTTTTGGCGCACAGCCCCGATTCCGAATTCGTAATGTTGATAGTCCAGTTCCTTTGACTGTCCAGTCCCCTCCATAAGTCATTACCCTATTGTCTCCCTCTCCAATTGTCATCCCTCCTTTTAAAAATTTTTTTTCTTTAAAGGCTCAATAAATTTGGCTACAAATATGCAACGGTGAGTAAATCGGTAAAATAAAAAAGAAAAAATTTTCTTTTAATTTTTACAAATTTTTTTAACAAAAAAGCTCTGTTTCTCGTTGTGATCAAGTAACTGGACTAATTGATCGAGTAAGTTGGAAGGATCAATCCAGAAGGTTTTAACTTCCCTAATGGTCACCCCCTCTTAGTGGTCACTCCCTCGTATCATGAATATGTTGGACTTCCTGCCATAGTAAAGCAACTGGGCTATAGCTATTTATCTCCTTTAGCTAGTGCAAAAGGTTATTCGGCGGCTGGGAGTGAACCAGCATCTTCAGTAGACCGGACTGATGTGTTGGCCATTACACCACGCGCCTACTGTATAGCCTTAGGAATTAAATAGCTATATGCTTTACACCATATCATTTTTTGTCCTTTGATCCCCTTTATATTTGGAGTTGACCACCAACGGAGATGCTTCTGGGAGTCAAACTTCTCTGGGTTGGACCCAAAATGAGGGGGTTGTGGGAGATAATTTTTTAAATTTTTTAAAGAATCCTTCAACTGTGCTGAGCCAAATGAATGGTCTAATTAATGGTGAAATGGCACAAGGAATTTTAAACAATTTTCTTGGATAAGAGAAAAGTACACTAGAGGGAAAAGGAAAGATTGAAGTTGTTTGATTTTAACGCGGGTGATTTTGTAAGGAAGAGAAAATTTGTATTTATTTTTAAGTATTTTTTTTTATTAGTCTTGTATATTTTAAAAATTATTTTTTTACATTTAATCAATGTTACTGACCATTTTGTCTTTCTTACCCTGGGTACTTTTTTGTCGCTGTTTAGCGGTTGTACTATTTTGTCGCTGTTTAGCAGTTGTACCATTTTGTCAATTTCTTAACTGTGAACCATTTTGTCGTTGTACTATTTTGTCGATGTTTATCCTTAGTTCCATTTTGTCTCTTTTTATAGCCCCATTTTGTCTCCGTTCGACATTTTGTCATTTTTTGCCCTTTGTACCATTTTGTCTGTGCATGAATTGATTTTATTTGCGCTATTTAATTTCAAAACACCAAATAGTTAAGGGTAACCTTTTCTTTAAATTTATTTAATTTTTAATTTTTTTTTAAAATATTTTTTAAAGAAATGTCTACTACAAGTTCATTAAATGTAATAGCAAAAATCCCTCAATCAGCAATTTGTTCAATAAGTAATTTTCTTTTGTCAGACAAGAAACTTGAAGAAAGGAATTGTTCAAAATCTTTGGAAAAGGATTGTGAAAAACCTGTAGATTTTACTAATGGATTTGAAACGGTTTGCTTTTTTATTTTTTAAAGGTTTTTCGGGTTAACGGGTCCAGTCTTCATTCCTTTAGGTGTGGGCTAAATTTTTATGTGACTGGAACTTTACAAGTCCCTCTTTTTTTGCTTTCTATTGCCCTGCTTTTTTCCCCTTTCCTAACATTAAGCCAAGTATAAATTTGAGTTCCATTTTATGATCAAAAGTAAGGCTAAAAATGTCAGGGTAACGGGAAGGAAAAAACGGGGGTGACTTCCCTGCACTCTAGTAGTTCTAAGTTTGGTTGGCAGTAGTTATCCCGACCCCACCGTCGCGGGTGTGAATAACTGACCCTTTTCCTTTTGGGGTAAATTATTACCAGCCGGTCAATTAAAGCCTATTAAACGGTTGTTTTGACCTTTATCTTGCCGTAATTTGTAATTATGTTAACTTTTGCCTCTTTGAAGATGCCGACAAAAAATAACATAATTATTTACAAATTGTTTTCCCGTGACGCTGATTTCAGGCAGCCACGACAGTGATTTTAGGTATTTTCGCGCAAAATTTTAAAAGCAATTTGTAATACAAATTGTTTTCTCGCGACGGTGATTTTCGCGCAAATTTTTAAAAACTATTGTGAAAACCTAGTAAATTAAAAATTGTTTTTTTAGCGCAAACTAAAGACAGAGGAGATATTTCTGAATGTAATTTACCTCCGGATAAACAATATAAATTTTTATCTGATAGTCGAAAAAAAAAGTTTAGGGTTCAATTGTTTATTTTTAGGTCCCATATGTAGTTTTCCCACTAAATTTTTAAACTTTTTTAAAATTAATTTTCAACTTTTAATTAATACTTTAAAATCTTAAAATAAACTGTCAAATTCAGATACATAATAGTAAATTTCTAATTTGGTTAATATTAAACATCCCATTGATTTACTCATTAATTTTAAAGTTATACTATTCGCCTTTTTCCCAATATTTTTCCCTTTTGTTTGTTTTGTACATTGTTTTTGTAATACTTTCTCTCTTCGATAGAGAGCAAGAGTTTTATGGACACTAACCTTTAGAGGTCAACATTTTCTCTTCTGCTAAGGTATAGACATTTTCTGTGAGGGCTTCCCTTTTTCAAGCAGCATGCCACAAAGAGGGAGAGGGAAGTATGCGAAATTAAAAAGGAGAGGGAAGCATTCCCATTCCCTTTATTTTCATCAATATTTTTTATCCTTTTTCTAATTTTTAATTTATTTTTATTAATTTATTTTATTTTTAAATTATTGTAAAATTATTTAAATTTCTTTATTTGTATATGTATAATCCTGAACGTTGAAAGACGTTCTCGATTTTTATTTTCTTTTTTCTTTCATAAAATCCTGAACGTTGAAAGACGTTCTCGATTTTTCTTTTATTTTAGTTTATAAAATCTTGAACGTTGAAAGACGTTCTAGATTTTTCTTATTGTTTTATAAAATCCTGAACGTTGAAAGACGTTCTCGATTTTTCTATTCTTTTCTTGTAAAATCCTGAACATTGAAAGACGTTCTCGATTTTTCTTTTATTTTAGTTTATAAAATCCTGAACGTTGAAAGACGTTCTAGATTTTTCTTTTATTTTAGTTTATAAAATCCTGAACGTTGAAAGACGTTCTAGATTTTTCTTTTATTTTAGTTTATAAAATCCTGAACGTTGAAAGACGTTCTCGATTTTTCTTTTCTTTTCTTTTGTAAAATCCTGAACGTTGAAAGACGTTCTAGATTTTTTATTAAAACAATTTTTATTATTAAATGTTAAATTTATTTATAAAGTTTTTAAATTTATTTAAACCTATTAAATTTAATAATGATGCTAAGTTTTGGTTTTTTAGAAGCATGCGGGCAAGAAAACATAAATAACAACAAAACATCATACATTCAATACATGACAATATGGTCAGTTCAAATAGAATAAATGCTGTAGGTTTAATCTTTATGAAATTTAAAATTCCAAATCTTTACTAAAGAAATTAAAAATTAAATATATGTCTAATGATCCTTTTTTTATTATAGATATGAAAATGGATCAGACGAATGTGTAATGACTGTTTGATTGCCTTTCACCGTGTACGTTTCTCTAAATTATAATTTAATAAAAAAAGATATAATATATATTTTCTATTTTTTCGTTTGGAGGGGGGTGGTATACTCTATTTCTTTTAAAATCTGTTCCTTAATAGAGATGGAAGGGAACCTATTCTTTTTGGAATAGAATTCCTAATAAAATTAGGATAACTGTTCCATTAGGGATGGAACTGTTCCTTTTGGGATGGAAATCCTATAATATAGGACAACTGTTCCATTAGGGATGGAACTGTTCCTTTTGGAATGGAAGTACTATAATATAGGACAACTGTTCCATTAGGGATGGAACTTTTCCTTTTGGGATGGAAATCCTATAACATAGGACAACTGTTTCATTAGGGATGGAACTGTTCCTTTTGGGATGGAAATCCTATAATATAGGACAACTGTTCCATTAGGGATGGAACTGTTCCTTCTGGGATGGAAATCCTATAATATAGGACAACTGTTCCATTAGGGATGGAACTGTTCCTTCTGGGATGGAAATCCTATAATATAGGACAACTGTTCCATTAGGGATGGAACTGTTCCTTTTGGGATGGAAATCTTATAATATAGGACAACTGTTCCATTAGGGATGGAACTGTTCCTTCTGGGATGGAAATCCTATAATATAGGACAACTGTTCCATTAGGGATGGAACTGTTCCTTCTGGGATGGAAATCTTATAATATAGGACAACTGTTCCATTAGGGATGGAACTGTTCCTTTTGGGATGGAAATCCTATAATATAGGATAACTGTTCCATTAGGGATGGAACTGTTCCTTTTGGGATGGAAATCTTATAATATAGGACAACTGTTCCATTAGGGATGGAACTGTTCCTTCTGGGATGGAAATCCTATAATATAGGACAACTGTTCCATTAGGGATGGAACTGTTCCTTCTGGGATGGAAATCTTATAATATAGGACAACTGTTCCATTAGGGATGGAACTGTTCCTTTTGAGATGGAAATCCTATAATATAGGATAACTGTTCCATTAGGGATGGAACTGTTCCTTTTGGGATGGAAATCCTATAATATAGGACAACTGTTCCATTAGCGATGGAACTGTTCCTTTTGGGATGGAACTCCTAATAATATTAGGACAACTGTTCCATAAGGATGGAACCATTACTTTAGGAGTTTGGATGCTCCTTTTTGAGAGTATAATCAATTATATATTATATCCATTTTTATTTATTTTTTGGCTAGAAGATTGTTAAAATCTAATTTTAACAATTTTCTAGAAAAGCAGCTGAACATCAATCATATTGCAAGAAGGCAAAGAAGCTAAGAACTTATAATAAAAGTTTTTTTGAATTTATAAATATAATTTTATTTTTTTAATAAATTAAAACATTTTTATTTTTAATAATAAATTTAATTGATATTTAAAAATATAAAATTTTATTGCACAAATTTTAGAATTAAGTTTTTAAATATTTTTACGCCTGGGGTGCTGAAAAAGGGCTATTTATCTGTTTCATGGACCCCAAAAAATCTTAAAATTTTCGATTGCGGAGCTGAAAAAGGCATATAGGGAGAAATATAGGTGTCGTGAGCAATGAAATTTTTAAATCGTATTTTTGTAGCGTACACAATTTTTGAGGATTTTCCGACAATTTATTTATAAATTAATCCTTTTGTACTTTAATTAACGTTTTTCCGATGAGAACCCTGACAATACATAATGAAGGGTGTCAAATTTTGGTTTATTTTTAAATTATTGGGTATTAATTAAAAATTTTATTTTCTACTCTTCACGTGACACTTTTTCTCATTTTAGTAATGTTTGAAAGTTTCGATATATTAGAACCAAAACATGCAAGTTAAATTAAATTCTAAAAATGAAAAAGGATGAGGAAGGTGATGAATTGGCTATAAAATTTCAATAATTTATAAAAAATATATACCTATTTCTTACTAAAAGTTACAAACAATTATGAAAGCAGATTTTTTTATCTCCTTTAGTTTATTACTATACAAATTCTATGGTCTCTTTAAATTTGCACCCATTTCTATTCTTTTTGACCAATAAATGAGCTTTGAGCCAAATCAATCACTCATTAAGTGGTAAAGGCTAAAAGATACAGATGTTTTATTTTTTGTTTTTTACTTCTAAAATATGTCCAAACCCTTCTCTTCAATCATTAAATATTCGACTCTAGGATGGCATATATTTCTCGTTAATTATAAAGGTCAAAACAAGCCAGATGTTCAAACTAAAGAGAGAAAGGAAAAATATTTAAAGTGAAAAGAGTAAGAATAGGGAAGAAAATAAGGAAAAATTAAATAAATTAGGTGGAATAACAGCTATTAAAATTTGAAGGGAATTTAAAGAACAATATTTTTTTATTTCTTAAATAATTATATCTAATTTTATTTCGATTGGTTAATGATCAACTAATAAGGGGCCGTCAAAATAAATAATGCATTATATTTTTTAAAATATTTATTTAATGTTAAAATAGCTACATTAAATTTCAAATTTTATTTCAATATCGAGTTTATTTCTAAGTTTTCTTTTCAATCTTCCTCCTTTTGTTTGATAGCAAATCAGTTGCTTCGCAGTTATTTTTGACACAGTTGTCGCATAATTCAATCTTTATGATCACTCTATCACCATTGCGAACTGTTTTGTCTTTTGAATTGAAGAGACGATTCTGACATGCTAAAGTTTTAAATTAAAATTTATATATAAAATAATAAATAACCATAGCAAAGGTGATATTGCAGAACAGTTTTCCCTTTTACAAGTTTCCAAAGAAGCTTTTCTGGAAAAGCTGTTGGTGGTTGTACCATCTTCTCTGTATTCAAATGAAGAGTCGTATGTGGGGATGATTGTTCCATAACTGCCTTTAAAGGAACAGTCTGAGGTGGTGATGGTTGTTCCGTCACTGTTTTCAGAGGAAGAGCTGATGGAGGAATGG